ACCAGTGCAGAAGAAATCCCTAACCACAGGTTGGAACGTGTGCAGTATACACCCAGTCTCCAGACAGCCTGACTACACATTTTTAGCTAGTTTTCTAATAACTGGTAAGCTAATTTTATTTACATTTACATTTAATTTGCTCAAAATTTTCCTCAAGAACAGGGAAAGACATATGCCTTGTTCGAAAAAAGCACACAAGCTACCTCTGCTAAATGTGGTGTCTAATCCAAAATCAGAGACAAAACTACCACTCCACAAAATCAGTGAAGTATGTTTTTCAAATGACTGTCATGTTTTTTCCAGAAATTAATCACTTGCACTGGAACCTCAAAAGTAAAAACAGGTTCCCAAATCAGACACAAGCATTAAGATGCCAGTTACTGGTGAAAGCTTAGTAACTTATAAATTATAATGTAGCCCACATACAGGGATCAATAAAAATATTTTTATTTCCCAATGTTGCAAGTATTGCTTTATTAACCTTGTTATTTTAACATTAAATGAACAGGCATTTATTTGAAATATGTGGTTACAACATGTTATAAAACTCCCCCAAAATACAGTGGTTTATAATCTGTGTAAGAAAAAACCTGTAATTGCACATTAGAACACAACAGTTTATGCACTGTGTTTTGTTACTTCATCCAAAGTAGCAGGCTGTACAGATATTCAGCGAATACAAAAAAGCTACGTGAATGAAAAACCTATATTGCACAAAATCAGTTGGGTGCAACATGTGGAAGTATTAGTGGCGGTTCTAAAAACTGAATTTTTCAAATAGTGAATTTGGATTGGCGCTTCCAAAAGCTGATGATTCTTGCTGGATTATGCAAGGCAGAATTAAATGTGTATCTTTCAAAAGGGCAGTTTCACTCAAACGTAGACTAGCCAATTAGGAAAGAAAATTAACAAAACAGAAGTGCCAGCTTGGCTCTGAAAATGTGTTTCATGTCTTTCTGGCCTTAGAAGAGAGGAAGGGTCTCTGCATAAAAAGTGAAGACATTAAATTAAGAAATGGCAAACCTGTACTGTTTGCTTTGTATCAGGATTAGCTTTGTGACTCATGCGTTCAGAGCACATCACAAAATTGGCTGCACTAAAAAGTACAAACCTTGCAGATGTATCTAGTCTTCCTTCCAAGATGTACTTCTGAAACAGATTCTCAGCTGTTCTGGATTTAATAAGCTCTATCTACAGCCATGCAGACATTACTAGATATGCCATTTTCCTAGCTATATTTTGATTAAATGCTATTTAGAGAAATACAAAGTAGAATGCTAATTCATTACTGTTTAATTGATTTAATTCATAAGGAGCTGAAAGCAATTACTGGAATGAAAATTAAAGTGTGTATCTTTACTACATGCTAAGAGACAGAATGAACTTTTTGTTTAATAATTCCCTGGTTTATAGCTGTGCCTTGCCTTGACCTTACGATACAAAAGGAAATCCCTTCTTTACCAGCTTCCCCACTTAAGCTTTTGTACAGAACAACTCTTGGCTCATTTTGGGCGAGGCTGTAAAAGGAAGAGGACTGGGTGAGAGTTAAATGCAGACCAGAGCTTTTTTCCTCAGGAGTTCAACCATCCTGCAGCAGTCCAGTGTGACTGTCAGAACTGGGATGCAAATTAGCAACAGATGGCACAATCTTATTTCCCTTTGTGTTTCGACAGGGATGATGCCAGCATATAAATGGGTAAGCCTTACTGTCTTTAACACTTAAAGGAAAAATCCATAGACATCTCAAGCTGCATAAATAAAAAGAATACATTATTCTTCTTGGCCCAGTACTGTTAAAAACCAGAGCACTTTACCATATATTTGTCTTGGCAATATATAAAACGCTCAGCCCCACTAATGCTCAGCTGTACACATTCAAACCACAGCTTACTTAGTGGTCTGCTTTGTCTTTCTAGTATAGTCCTGGAAATTTAAAAAGACGGGTCAGTAAAATATTACCCAGGCATTCTTTATATTTTTTGGCCAGAAAAGCTGCATCTGCATCAAGGCTTTCCTAGCACACCTGCAGTGCCAAATCCACCCAAATCTTCTCAAATGTAACATTCCTGCTTCTTATCCTACATTTTTTGTTATGCTTCCTTTATATGTAACAGGTGCTGCTCCTGTAATCTTTCTTAGGAAAATCACTGTAAGCTATGACTGACTTCTCTGAGCAATTACAAGCAACCAGAGGAAATTGCACAAATTTTTAGCTTGAGCTTTTAGTACCAGACCTCACACTTCATGCCTATCTGCATATGATTTCTGGACTGAAATTTTGAATTATGTGTGCTAAGATCCTTTCTCGGCAGTAAAATTAAACCTCTCTTGCATAAGCAGTAAACCCACAAAATTTTAAATACAATGTTTTCACTGATGGAATTTTATTTGCTAATTTTTATACAATTAAAATGTACACACTGATAAGAGAATCAAGACAGTAAGTTCAAGAGCATTTCAAGCAGGCATAAGCCTGTGCTGCTGCTGAAAGAAGCAAGTAAGTCTTGCTGCCTTGTCATCCTTGGCTGTTTTTTCCAGCCTTTGGAAGAAAGGCTCTTCCATGTTAAGATAAATGTGAGGTTTAGCAGTGAGACAGGAACTCTCCATGTTAAAGCTGGTTAGCAAAAAAAACCCAAACAGCCAAAAAAACCACCTCCCCCAAAAGAGGTCATTTTAGCCCAAGTCACTCAATCTGTTACTGAAGGTGCAGCAGAAACATCAGTCTTCATTTAAGTTGAGTTAATTGCGTTTTAGTTGCTTCATATTCCATCTGTGTCAGCCTCCTTTTGGGAATAAGAGAATTGCTAACATATAATCTAGACCTTCAAACACACCAGCATTGCTTCTGTGGTTCCTTATAAAAAATCCTGTTCCTTTCCCTGTGGATTTGTATGAGTGAGTTATTGAAGAGGAATATGCAGGTGAACGATAGGACAAGGAACATGGAGCAGAACAGTGCAGTATAGTAAGCCTAACTAGCACTGGTTGTTTGTCCAAAGTAATTCCAGCCCTTACCTGAAAAAAACAATTGGAAAAGTCAGAAACTAAAACGGGATTAAGGCAGGATGATCCTGCTCTGAATACAGTCTGCTGTTCTCAAAATGGTGGTGGTGGTAGTATGATTTATGATAGTAAAAAGGGTTTTATTACATGGGCAATAGAAAAACAGTAGCAGATCTCACAGACTGAATGAAGTTGTCTATAAAAAATCTGACTTTGATAATTTTTTTTTTATAAGACATATAAAAACATGGGAACACTATACAAATCTACCAGCTTTTAAGATCACAGTTCTTGACTGGTAAGGGATTGTATAACAAAATCACAGAGTATCTCGAGTTGGAAGAGACCTGTAAGAATCATTGAGTCCCAACTCCCTGCTCTTTGCAGGACCACCTAAAACTAAACCATATCGCTAAGAGCACTATCCAGATGCTCCTTGCACTCTGACAAGCTTGTTGCCATGCATCACTTCCCTGGGGAACCAGTTCCAGTTACCAGCCACCCTGCTGGTGAAGAATCTTTTCCCAGTGTCCAATGGGAACTTCTCCTGATGCAGCTCCATTCCATTTCCTTGTGCCCTATGTCTTGTTACAGCCACCAGAGGCAGATCAGCACCTCCCTCTCTGCAGCTCTCCTTGAGGAAGTTCTAGACTGTCATGAGATCACCACTCGGCCTTCTCTTCTGCCCGTGTAATTTACACAGTAGCATGGAGAACAGTGAGTTCTTAGTTTATGGAAGTTGATTGAGAAATACAGCTATAAAATATTTTACTACTGATCTGTGCAGGAGAAAATTAGCATGGCTACCTGGAAGTCTTAAGGAATTTGGGAACGTCTGGAATCAACTCAAAAATGATGGCGGCTGGCAGGAAGCAGACTGCAATAGCAGAGATCTAACAGCAAAGACATGACAGCATCTGAAGGGGGCCTACAAGGATGCTAGAGAGGGACTCTTCATTAGGGACTGTAGCAATAGAACATGAGATAATGGGTTCGAATTTAAACAGGGAAACAGGAGATTTAGGTTAGATATAAGGAAGAAGTTCTTTACTGTGAAGGTGGTGAAACACTGGCACAGGTTGCCCAGAGAAGCTGTGGCTGTCTCATTCCTGGCAGTGTTCAAGGCCAGGTTGGATGGGGACTGGAGCAACCTGGTCTGGTGGAAGGTGTCCCTGCCCGTGGCAGGGGGGTTGGAACTACATGATCTTAAGGTTCTTTCCAACCCAAACCATTTTATACTTCTGGGACTTTCTTAAGGACAGTCCTGGCTATAGCAGCATTCTTTCTGAAACAACAGGCTTGCAAACAGCCTTGCTTTTAGTCATCTGCTGCCCTAGGCTTCCTCCAGCAGATAGGCCTTACCGGGAAGTGATCTGCCAGTGCTAACACACAGTCAGCCTCACATCCAAACGCACAGGGTACCACTCTGCACGGATTGCTACAATTATCAGTATCCATGTTACCACTGTTCTGCAGCACACCGCAAAGGCACCACCGCCCCTGCTCATCCCAGCGCAGGTAGCAGCACTGTGGAAGAACCTTCAGTGCAGGGGAGAGCAAACAAGACGGGAGGTCCCGAGGGCAGGTGAACAGTGAAAGGGTTCCGACAACGCTCTGTGAGAAGCGCATGCTCTTCCCGAGTGCCGCCAGTGCCGGTGTGAGACGCACAGACACGAGGGACCCCCGCGCTTGACACGCGGTAACAGCGGGATAGCCCTGCTGTCCGGGAACGACGCACCTCCCACGCGCGCAGGCCCTACTGCTTTGTCCCACTGGCTCCGCTCCCGGCCGCACAGCCCGCCCGCAAGGCGCGTCGGGAGGAAACTGGCAGGCCTGGGCCGCCCTTCCCCGGCCCCCGGGCTGCAGCGGACAGCTTCCCCCGAGGGCGGGCCCGCCGGCGGCGGAGGCCCGGCTGGCTGCGGCGGCGGGGCGGGCACCAAGAGCGGCCCCATGAGGTCATAAATGACGCAACTCTCCCGGAAGCAGGCAGCAGTGCAGGGAACAGCGAGTGAGTAGGCGGCCTCTCTCCGCCGCTGCAGTCGGTAGCTTGGCGGACCCGCCCCGCCGCGCTGCGCCGCCCGCGCGTCTGTCCCTCAGCCGGGCAGCGCCTGTCGGGACCATGTCGCTCTTCCAGTCCGCCCTGGACTTCCTGGCGGGCCCCGGCTCCCTCGGGGCTGCCAGCCGCGACCAGAACGATTTCGTGGGGCAGACGGTGGAGATGGGCGACATGAAGCTGCGCATCAAGAGGGTCATTGCGGAGGGTAAGAGCTGGTGGCGGCGGCTGCAGGAGCATCCGGGGCCGGGCCGGGCCCGACTTTCCCGCTGCCGGGCTGAGCTGTGCTCCTCTTCGGGCCTCCGGCTCGCCCCGTCCGCCCTTTCTTGGCCGGGAGGGCTTCCTCCCTGGCGGGCCGCGCCCTGCAAGGGGAGCCCGCCGGGCCGGCTCTGGTCGCTTCCTCCTGCGCCGGCAGTCGGCCCCTCTGACGGGCTGGCTGCCTCCTCGTACCTACTCTAGCTGGGACCGTGGGCACGCTGAGCTGTCGTAAGTGCTGCGGTGGGTGTTCCGCCGGGACCGGGTGTAGGAGCGGTGCCCGCTGTTGTTAGTCCTCTTCAGGAATACCCATCGAGAGCAAGTGTTCAGCGTGGAGAGTTCTTCACTTGCTTTGTGTTTGAGAATAGCTTCACCACCTAACAGAACTCTCATATGAGTTCATAGTCCACATAGAACCTCATGGAAATACGGGATTGCACGTATATATGTATGTATATATATATATTTAAAATGACAATGTGTCATATCGTGCCAAAGATGCAAATTCGCTTCTGCTGCTCAGGGTTATTTAGAATACCGTGAAATGCAGGAAGAGATGTTAACTTTAAGCAGCAGTGTCAAGAGGCTGATCTCATTCTGCGTATGGGCTTTCCTGGAGTTAAATATCTGGGTAGTTTTCAGTTTCTGTGGATTTTTGGGTAGGTATTTTGGCACACGCTTGCTAGTCTGTTTTAAAATAAGTTCTATGGTCTGTGTAAACTACTTAGAAATTAGTAGAAATTTGGATCTTGCACTTGTGGTAAGAAGAATTACTTTGTTTTCAAGCAGAAGAGGCACTGAAAGCTTGTCTTAAAAGGCTAAAATGTGACTTTGTCCATATTAGTGCAGTTACATAGTTCATTATCTTTGAACAGGTCGTTGAAGTTATTTAGGTAGAGTACCTCAAATTTCTATTCAGAGCTTCTTTTCAGTGTTAAAGTTATTTTTTGTAGTTGCTTCTTGTAATTGCCTTGTATGTAGCTGGTTTAATAAGTAGATTTATTGAATTTTTTTTCTGGGTATTGTTTTTTTGTTGAAATATTACCACCCTAAACTGACCACCATGGAAATAAAAATGGTTCTTCAAGGTTAGCTGCATCAGTTAAACTTAGAAAAATTTTGCTTGTGTAAAACAACAGGACATTGGTCTTCACAGCTGTTTAATCTTCTAAAGGACAAATGATTTGTAACTTCACTGCTTAACCACTTTTGACATGTGATCTTAGACAAACCCTGGCAGTTTTTACATAGTAAGTAGCATTCAAAATGGAACTAAATGTCAAGTCCAGTTCTGCCATTAGCCTTTACTTGGACCTTCTTTACTAAGCAGCCAGACAGAGTTTGTGAGTGAAATGTAAGCGCTCAATATGATGTGACTGCAAGGTGAATGCTGGATGAACTGGCTGGTGCTGCTGGTGCTCTGACATTCCTGCCAGGAGGACCTGCAGCAGTTTCCAGAGAGCAACAAAGGAAAAGAAGAGCAGAAAGCTGTATTTGAGATGTATCTGCTGTTTAGTTCTTGGTTCTGAAACAAGGATTTTATACTTTACTTTGGCAGCAGCTTACTGTTACCTAGGATCTGACACAGGCTTCCTAAAATGTCAGGGTAATTACGCCAGGTTAGATAACTTAAAGCAAACAGGGACATGCTTTAAGTCTAGCATTCTTGCAAATTTATCTGTAACCACTGCTTGGTGTTCCACCTTTTTCTCGGCATTACAGTTTATTTCATGATGCTTTCAGTGTACTAAGTGAAATTGGGCCTTTCTGCTTTTGTTAGAAAGACCACATCTTGGCTAAAACAAGCTTTAGGATATATTGGGTATGAATATAAAAATGCATGTGAAATAGAGAAGTCTGAACTTCTGCTGTCTTCAGATTTTAATTTCTTTAGCATATTATTTTTGTTGCTGATAATTAATTTATCTTTGAGCTTTGAACCTGTTTGATACCTTGTGATACTTGCTTGTATAACTGTGGCTTATAAGCATTCCCTTCCATGCTTATAAATACAGAATCTTTTTTTCTTCGGCATGAGTCCTTTCATGCCCAATTCCTTACTAGAAAATGAAGTGATACTTTCAAAATTCAGATTTCAAACCATGGTGAACTGTGTGTCATCTGCCAAAGCAGAGAGATAGCCTTTTTTGTAAGATCATATGGTCTGCTTTGTTTGCAGTTGGTGTGAACACAGTCTGTGGATTAGCATTACACAGTATCATACGGCAGCATAAGTTCAGTTGTTCTCACACCGTGCAGCTCTTTCCAGTTTTGTAGTGTGCTCATCATCTGCGTTGGTGCAGATATGTGTTTGGCCATGCTGTCAGCTGAGACACTGGCTTTGTGAGCAAACACCATTCAGTTGTTTTTCCATGTTTGTTTTGTGGAGGTGCCACACTAGGAGTAGGACCCAGCCGACTGAAAAGGTGTGCTGTGAGAGGAACCTGAGAGCCAGGCGGGGGGGGGGGTCAGGGTCAAGGTGATCTCCAGTATTCCTTGCTACCTCCCAGCGCATGACTGAGCATGTCACAGGATGGACTGAGTGCTGCTGGAATATGGTGTTTTGTACTTGGGCATTTCAGTAGCTCACTGCAGTTAAGAAATTTTCAGAGGAAATGGGTGGGGGCCTTTACATTTAATCCTTACTTGCCCTTCATATGATCACAGAGTCATAGAACAGTTTGAGTTGGAAGGGACTTTCAAAGGTCATCTAGTATTATGCTGGCTTCAGGTGTTAGGGTTCTTCTGTGTCCTCTGGTTAAGTGCACAGACTGCCACACAATTTTATTTAAGTAAAATAGTCACTGATTGCATACCTACTTACTAAATGTGAGTGAATGTAAGTATCTCACAGTCTTTCATGACAGAGGACGCTTGCATGGCCATGAGGCACTTGCCAGTCTGGGTATTCTGTATGTGTCTCCATCACAACATGGGTGTCTGCTCTCACCAGGGTGTCTGCATACACATGGCCCAGGTACACGAGATAAGAGTTCTCCAGACGTTTACTGTTTGGTTTTTATACAGTTAGGTGAGGGTGCCTTAACTGTACTCTGTCAGATCCCTTTCTATTAATGTGAACAGGATGTGCATTTTTGTTAACTTTTTGCTTCCTCAGTTGATGAGTATCCTTTCCCCTTGTTCAGATGTGTCAGGATTCTTGTACCAATCTGTGCCAGACGGTTGTGGGACTGAGATGGTCCTTGCTGAGCCAACAGTTGACGTAGCCTGCATATTTGACCTTGGGAGAGAATGGGGAGAGCAAGGGACCACACCAGCCTGAACAGTAGCTATCAGAAATTTCTTGTTTCTTGCTCCTGAAAGCATATTTGCACAAACAACCTAGCAAATTTGTTTTTCAAATGCTAGATGCTGCTGGCTTTCATTTTTGCCTCTGTTGAACAAAGCATCTCTTCTAATAGACATTATTCTTGTTTACCTGCTAATGGTGACACTCAAAGATGATGGGCATGTAAATACGGGAAATTTCTTGATCTGATCTTCATCTATACTGTAGAAGGAATAGAACCTGGTCACTGGGCTGTCAGTATTCATTGAGAGACTGCCAGTGCCAAAGATGGTCAGTGAATTACGGAAACTTGTTCTTCAATTCTGTGTAGTAATGCTACTCCAATGGGAGGGTGAGTTGATATGAGAATACCGTGTCCTGTGATGCGCACTGTCAAGTTTCAAAGTTACATACAAAGGAAGCTGATTTTTTTTTTAATGATTGTAAATTGCATGGTTGTATTAGTTTTGGTAGTTAGCTAACTGGAGAAGCCTGTTTGCTTTGTGCTGAATGAATGTTTTAATGAAATTGCTGTTTTTTAGAGCATAAATGAAGGGCAGAATGATTTGGAAGCTAAATAAGATATTGACAGAACTGCTTATGTGCTTAAATTATTCAGTCTTTCAATATAATCATATTCTTTGAATGTTTCCATTGAGGCTTTTTTTTGTAAAAACAGGCAGCTGTTGCGTTGATGGGTGGCAGAAAGTTTGTAAATTATTTCATATATCTTGTTGATAAAGTAAAAATAGAAGATATGAAACCAGAAAATGTCTATTCTAGAGGTCCTTCCATGAAAACAGGGAACTTAATCTTTATGGTGAGCCATGGAACAAAATCTGATACTGTTCAATCTCCTATCCTTTTGAAAGGATAAAGGGATCTTCTAAAAGTTTTCTGTTATATATTCAGTTAGGTCAGGTAATATTTTGAGGGGGTTTTAGTGTAAAAAATCAGTTGACAACTCCACTAGTAGTTCCTGCTGCCACTCAGTGTGTAATGTAACATCCCTACAAATACTTAACTGCCAGTAAGAGAGACTTGAATTTGCTTCTTGAGTACTGTTATTGAGTTTTGTAGGTTAAATGGTAAATATGAAACTATCAGTAGGTGTATTTTAGCTTTAAATTTTCTAGAACAGAGATCATACTAACAGAAAAATAATCTTCAAAAAGTTTGGAATATTTATGTCCTGGTAAGCTGTTTTAAATGCCATAAACCAGATAGAAAAATTCCCTTATTAATCCTTTAAATGGCTTGTTTTGAAACACTTTGTATTTGAGTTATTCAGTTTCTTAATATTTGTGATAAAGGTAATTGCATCAGGAAAACAACTTTATGCTATAATTACTGTTTAAAATTACAGTTTTTATCTTTCTTGGCCACTAATTCAACTGCAGACTGAATATGCTATAATTTTTTAATTCTTGGGTATAATTGCTGTTCTGTGAAGTACTGGCTAAGTCTTTGTTTTTATGTGAAATGGGGCAGTGTTACCTTCGTTCAATTTAAAAAACTTATATAAAACAACTCAGGGTCTTGTCAGTGGAAGGCAGTGATGGCATGGAATGAGCAACACTTGTCTTTTAGAGCCTATTGAGAAATGTTCTGCCTGCTCATATATACTGTTTGTAATGTGTTTGAAAATTGTTTGTGCTACTGCT